ACACTAGGGAGAGAGTTGCGATTCACATGGGAGTAGAGAAATAGAGAAAACATGCACTTTACATCACTTAAACACTAGATGATATCAACATAAAAGTTGCGATTCACCCCCAAGTGAAAGAACAAGTAGAAAGTGAAGGATGAGAGAGAAAATCACTCACATGGACCCACATACACAAGAAGGGAGGAGAGGAGAAAGATGGAGAGAAGGGGAGAGAGGAAGAAGGGGAAAAGGAAGAGGGAGAGGAAGGACGAGAAGATGGAGAAAGAAGAACATGAAGAAGAAGAAGGGGAGGAGCGGGAGAGGGAGAGGAGGAAGAAGAGAGGGGGGAAGAAGGGAAGGTATCTTTTCACTCACCCCTTGGATGCCTTCACTCTCAATGAAGCCTCCTCCCTCTTGGTTATGGCTTCCTTCTTCCTCAAGCCTTTCTCCTTCCTTCCTTTCCTCCTCCAAGTTGTCACGAGCTCCTACCACTAAGGCTAGGGAGTCCTCCCCTCTAGGAGGGCTAATGAGACCTTTCTTAGCCTTGCCTTCCTCTCCACTAGCCTGGGAGCTATGGCGGATCACCGTCTCCACTACCACTAACTTGTAGAAACCTCTCCCACTAGCTCACAGCCTCCTCCACACTCTCAAACTCGTAGGGGTTCCCCTCACTACCCTCTGAATGCCTTTAGAGCTCTCACGGGCTCATTCGGGCATTATGGGAACTCCTCATGCAAATGTGAGTGTGGCGGACTGAATCCCCAACTTATATAGGCTGGAGCCAGCAGTCCGGCCAGCCCATGGGCCCCTCCAAGTGTCTCATGGTGAACCGAGGTACCCTCTAGGCCTCTCCGGGGGCACCCAGGCCTCTTTTTGGTCAGGTACATGCAGTCTGAGTGATTGGTACCAACTCCGTCTACCCCGTGGGCCTTTTTCCAACCACCTACTTCTTGGAAAATGCTGCCCCCTTGAATCCAAGGTCCAAGGGGTAACCTACTTGGGAGAAAAAGACCTAATGGACCTTTTTTTCGATTTTTCCAAGTTTCGGCCTCCCTTGGATAGGCCAGACCATTTTTCCAAGTGGCGACACATTTTCAGCCTTGGAACAGGCTAAAATCCAAGACCATCAATATTCCGAGCTACCCGATGGTGGTCCTTGCATCAAATTTGAGCCCATAGGCTCAATTTTTCAATTTTCGGTTCATCTGGCTCTCCTTTTGGGCCAAATCCACAGTTTCGTTTTTTTCTTCTTTTTGTTTCTTTCCTTTTTGGGCTGCCATCTCATTCCGGATCTAACTGTTTTGTGCTGGCCCACAAAAAACGGTTGTTTTCTCTCCACCATGAGATCTGATCTCAGATCYATGSCTMAAAAAAAAAMCGGATTTYTYYCTTTTGCATTTTCTTTTATTTTTTTCTTTTTAATTCAGATTCTGTTGAGATATGACCCTTGGGTTCATATCTCAGCCATCCAGCCTACTCCCCTTGGATCTAGGAGGAGTGAGTTCATCATTGGGACCTGGCAGTCCCTACCACGGCCATCCCAATGGGCCGGCACACTCTCCTCCACCCATTTCTCCTATTTTGTCTCATTCTTCCTTCTTTTTCTCTTTTTTTTCTCTTTTTTTTCCTTTTATTTTTGTTGTGACATGTGTCAAATTGTTGTGCACTCTTTTTTTAGGCCTTAGAACCTTGATTGTGACGAGGTTCATGCTCGGCTGTTAGCCGTTACACCCCGGCCCACCAACTTGGCATGCCCATGCCCCTAGGGGGGCCATTTCACTCCCGTTAGCCTGCATTTTAAGCCTCTTTGGCTCCGAATTTTCATGGTTAGTTTATTTCTTGCTTGGGTCCCCTTGGACTCTTGTTTTCTTATGCTTAGCTTGTTCGAAATACCCCGGACTGTTGGACAACCCTCCCCTCATTTATTTTTTTTGTTTCTCACTTCCCGTTTTTCACTCGTTTGGGCCCCGCTAGTGTTTGCATTAGTGATGCTAATATTTTTCTGCCGTCGAGATCTTCGATCTCGACGGTGCCGTTTGCTTCTCACGGCCACTCCCTACCTTGGCTAATGGTTTTCTTCTTGGGACCCCTCAAGTCCCCCCCGTTTCCCCATACTAGTCTCAATTTCCTGTTTCGCCGGCGGTATCGTCGACAAGGTCCAATTACCGTCAACTTTTGTTTGGGTCCATTTGGCCCCCGGCGTCATTCTGGTTGATGCCCAATTTTTATTTTGGAACTTCCCATACCCCCGATAGTCCCGTTTTATTCTTTTCATGTGCCCCAAGCGCCGTTGATAATTTCCCGGTCGTAAGACCCCCCCTGTGTCGTCGTCGTTTTACCGTCACATTCTCTCTAGGCCCTCGACGTTGTGATTCTAGTTTTTTGACATTCCGTGACTCATTCTCCCTTGACCTGGGCATCCTTATGCAGTCCGTTATTTCTTGGACTGCATCTACAGCCAAATTGCTAGCCCCATGTCATGCCCCATGCCCAAGGAAAATAAGGCGTTAGCTTTCCCAAGGCCTCTGGGCTCAATTTTGGCTCCCGGAGTCCCAAAACCTTATGTTTGTCCTTCCTTATGCAGTCCGTTACATCTCGGACTGCACTAGGGGCAGTTTTCCCTGCCTCAATCTCCCACAACTAGCCCCCCACCAAAAGAAAATCAAGTGGCCAACTTCCAAGTGCATCCGGTCTCAATTTTGACTCCCAGTGCACTCAAAACTTGTTTTTGGCCTCCCCCATGCAATCCGTTATTTTTTGGTTGCAAGAGGCCTTGATTTTCTTTGATTCTCTTTGCATAAATCAAAGAAATTCAAGGTCCTTTGTAACCGTCATATTGCCAAAATAAATCTGGTCCAAAATCCCTCCCCTAGGTGGTCGTTTTCGTCCGTTAGTGTCCTTTTGACTTTCCTCCTTTTACTTTTCTTTTCTTTTCTTTTTCTTTTATTTTTCCTCCACTTGTGGACAGTTGGGACTTGTCAGTCCCTACTTGCTTCAGTCCCAACTAACGGCCAACTCACGCACTCACTCTCACCTCCTTTTTTTTTTTTTTTTTTTTTTTTTTTTTTTTTTTCAAGTGTCAATCAGCTAACCTGACAAGTGTCAATCCAGGAACCAGGATTCAAGAACAAGATGGACCAGAAATGCAGATTGAGACCAGGGGATGGTTCAGGATCCAAGATTTGCACCAGGAATGGCAAAGGGTCTAGGATTTGGCACAGTCATAGTTCAGCATCCAGGGTTTAGAACAGGAATAGCTCATACCTAGATGGTACATGTTAGGACATTCATCTCCATCACAGCAGAGGAGCGTTCCCCCTTCACCGCACTTAAGGCAGCAATCGAGAGCCTCCTCCACGCCTGCTCTTTTCTTTTGAGAACTGGCACCATACGGAACTAGTGCCATGGATGTCCCATGGTTTCCGCTCCCACTCAAAGTAGCATTGGACATCTCCATTAGCTCGCGGCCAAAGTGCGGTGAGTCAAACACCTGAGGCGACCTGAAGCCGCTATGACCTGCCCCACCTGCATTTGCCGCCATGATAGCCTCATCCATGATCATCCGAAGGGATTTTCCACTGTCCAAGAAAATGTAGTCACTTGGATGCCGAGCAGGGCTGCCGGCATGTTTCTCAAAAATGGACACATTTACTTTCTGCAAGGAGACGACGCAGAAAAGAGAGCGGTGGTGAAAAGACTGAGGCCATATATTCACATTTGGCATTTTTTGGAAAGATTCTGGCAGTATTTGCGGTCAGATACTTCTCAGAAAGTCCCAGTGTTAGGGCATGCTCACACTGCGGTACAATATCCGCACAATCTTACAAAATAGGGAAGCCCAATTTGGGGATGATATAGTGGTGGCGCCAGTCGCACCCCGTTCCCAAATCTCCCATTTCACAGTTGCAGTGCAGCACCCAGTGTGGAAACTTCAGAGTTCCACACTGGCGTCGGTTGGACTCCCATCTTTGCAATATACCCCTACTGGGTACCATTCAACTTTGCAAAATGCCCCTTCGCAACCGACGCCAGGGTGCTTCGGAGTTCCACACTGGCGTCGGTTGGACGTCCGTCTTTGCAATATACACGTACTGGGTACCATCCAACTTTGCAAAATGCCCCTTTGCAACCGACGCCAGGGTGCTTCCAAGTTCCACCCAGTGTGACCTCCCAGTCACGCGGTTGCTATCACGCCAGTATCTTCCCTTTCGATTTTTTAGTCATTTACAAAAATTGAATCAACAAAAAAAAAAGGAATTTATGGCAAATTCCCAATCACCGTGGCCTCTCAGGCCGCTGACACATGAGATCACGAATAAGTAGTTTGGGGAAATGAGAAACGAGTGTGACTACCCCACTATACCTTTTTTGAGAGATTCGGGATTTGGGGTCCTAGTGTAAGTGTGCCCTTATTACGCCCAGAGTCTCAGGCACAAAAGGAAGTATGCCCACAAACGGGAGCCAATATTTTAAGAGCTCGGATGTTTTAATGCTGTTCTTATCGAGGTTTGATGCATCTTCTTTCGTCTGGCACAAGGAGAGAGAGGGTGCGAGGAGAGGAGAGACAGAAACAGGTCACAACCACTGTGCTCCATACATTCAGACAAGCGATAGCATCATAAAAATCTTAGATCCAACAAAGGTAAACGTACTGTCCATCTTCTCTTTCCTAACAGAGGCACAATGGCAAAGAGGAATACGGTGAAAATGCTTTTGTCTAGAATGCCTTTCTTCCGGTCTGCAACTTTGCAATCTGGACCTCCCCGTTTGGGCCTTGGCCCTTTTTTTGCAATAGCGCATAGGAAAAGTTGACAAGTACTGGGCCATTTTGCGAAGTTGGATGGTACCCGGTAGGGGTATATTGCAAAGATGGGAGTCCAATGGACGCCAGGGGTATTTCACAACATATGTTTTTGTCAGAGGGGGATTCCGCTCTACCCACATCTTTTCGGGATAATTTGCAAAATATCCCCCAGAAGTTGAGATATATGCCAAAATGCCCCTAAAAGATGTGGGTAGGGTGGAATGCCCCTCTGACAAAAAAAAAAAAAAAAAATTGTGAAATACCCCTGGCGTCGGTTGGACCCCAATCTTTGCAATATACCCCTACCGGGTACCATCCAACTTTGCAAACTGCCCCATTGCAAAAGGCCAAGGCCCAGACGGGGAGGTCCAGATTGCAAAGTTGCACTCCTGCCTGGCAGGGGCACAACACAAAGATTTTGGCCCAAAAGGGCATTCTGCTCTACCCACATCTTTCAGGGGCATTTTGGCGCATATATTTTGCAAATTATCCCCCCCAAAAAAACGGAAAAAAAGAAGGAAAAAAAAACGATGAAGTCATGGAGAGTCGACGACTTGCTGGTATGAAAGGTACACCTCAGAATAGAATTAAGATTGAGTGGTAAGGAAAGCAGGGGCGGGGGAAAGGAGGGGCTTTGGTGGGGGGGAGACAGGGCAAGCTGCAGGGAACTGGCAATCACCAGGAGGGATGGAAGGGGGGAAGAAAGAGGGCAGAGGAGAGGCAAAACAAAGGGAGGAATCAAGAAGCGATCATCACCATTCTATACCCCCTGCCTTCACGAAGGAGGATCTTTTGATTGCAAGGGCAATCCATCCTCGACAGACAGACCAAGAAACTCTTCTATTGCATTAGATACTTCACTAAGGAATGAGTAAAGGTTCGAAGCAAAAGACATAGATTGTGTACAGAGTCTGCAGCCAGGCAGAGGGAACAATACACGAATGAAGACAATATATGAGGGAAGCAACTGAAACAGGAAAACGAAAAAGTACCGATGAAGCAGAAGAAGGGCAGGGAGGAGGAGGTAAAGTGGAAGTGAGCCATGGAAAAAGAATGTGTGGAACGAACATAAAATGAAAGTAAAATGCAAGAAAAGATGAATGAATCTATCAACAGACGGACATGACCCTTACCTCAATGCCTCTGCATTTCTTGCAATGGCACATGATCATGCCACTCTTGATCAGACCAGTCAGCAGTACCTATCAAATCAAAACAGGCGAACACTGTGGGTAAGAACAGTCCATCACTGCAAGTTACTCTGATTGCAGCATAATGGCATCAACCACTCTCTCTCTCTCTCTCTCTCTCTCTCTCTCTCTCTCTCTCTCTCTCTCTCTCTCTCTCTCTCTCTCTCTCTC